TGTGCCATTGCGCCTGGCTTGAGAGGGATTTCTTTTGAACTTGGGGTAAGCAGCTCTTTGGGTGACAGAGGTGTGAATGTTTTCTCCCTGAAGAAACATCTTCTGCCTTCCCAGCATCCACCCCCACAGTTCTGTTCATGTGGTTTCCTTCAAAACACAGAGTGAACGGCCACCCTAAAAAGGGACCTGGGGTCTGGAGATATAGCTCAGCAGATACTGCCTTCCTGGCAAGCGCAAGGTCCTGAATGCGATTCTTGACACCCCCTCCCTCCCCAAAAAAGACATAGACATGGAACAGGCTTGTGGCCTTGGCTCTGAATGGGGCTATGTTGTACTTTGGGGGTTTTGCAAAGGAACAATATAATACAGGACACATATTTTATCAAATTATTTGTAATAGTCACCCAAAGAATCATATGCAGAGAGTACAGGAAATCTGTCCACACACTGAAGACCAAAGAGGGCCAGGGATATAGCTCAGCGGCATAAGCGCCTGCCTGGTAAGCGCGAGGTCCTGAGTTTGATTCCCAGTACCCAAAGAAAAAAAAAACAAAACCATAAAGACCAAAGAATCCAGCTGGGGGCCTGGATCCCAAGGTAATGTCCTGCATGAATCCAGCCGAAGACCTAGAGCCCATAACAATGCCTCCCATGGTTCCAACTGGAGGCCCAGAGCCCACAACAATGTCTCATGCAGGCCTGTTTCACAAATCTGCGCTGGGAAGGCCCAAAGGTCAGTGGTGGAAGCTAGAAAGTCTGTGCCAGCGGGATGAAGGAGCTGTGCCAGCAGGCTGAGGGAGCTGCACTGCAGCCAGGAAGCAATGCGCAAAGTAAGAACCAGAGCTCCCCCGACAGCCGTCCTCAGCGACAGGGAGATCCCACACTCCTCTGATGATGAGGACAGCTGAGCTCCCATCAGGAAAGCCAAAGCAACAAGCTCCTCCAGGAGACTGAGCTGTGCACCATCTTCCCTTCCAGAGCCAGGAAGCCATGCTCAAAGTGAAGACCAGCGCTCCCCCAAAGTGAACTGAAGCCATTCTCAGTGACAGTGAGGTCCTGAGCTCCTCCTCCTATGAGAATAACCAAGTTCATCAGGAAAGCCAGCATGGCAAGGTCCTCCAGCATTATAGCCCAAGAGAACCAGCAGCTCCCTAAGAGCTTCCCAACAGCTTCTACCAGCTCCAGCAGCCTCATCTTCTTCTCCGGTTCTGCCTCTTACGCTACTGGCAACACCCCTCAGGTGGGCTCCCACACCCAGCACCGCACTGGTTACAAGTTGACCACCAGTGGTCAGTCCACCACAGGCTAGCAGACACCTGGGACAGCAGGGCCACTGACCAGGACAGTGTGGCAGGGACAGTTACAGGAGTGTGACACACAGGGGTGGCAGGCGGAGGCTGGAGCGGACTGTGGCGGATATCGGTGCAGACCACACACAAAATCCATGCCCTCATCCCAGAGTCACTACCGGCATTAGACAGAAGGTGCCTGATTTCAAGGAATTAGAATTTTTAAAATACAGGCAAACACACAAAACAGTGGTGAACACATCTGATCCTCTGTGGCGTGACTCAGCTGCCCGAATTAGGATCCTGAGGTGCCCCGGGGCGAGCGTTCCATCAGTTACCTTACAGAACTTTACATGTGGGCCCAGCAGCCCCGGGTGAGTCACTGTGAGTTGATTTTTAAAACAAAAATCTCTTCTATCAACCTGTTTAGTTTTCCTTTCTAAAGAAAGCAGGGTACAGAAACCAAACTAAAACACTAAGTAGGAGAAACTAAATGCCCGCTAGCTCCCCCTTGCAATCGTTTGGGCTTCAGATACAAGTTTCTCTCCCAAGCACCTGGTGTGCAAAGAGGCAGGGACAGGTGGGGGTAGCGCCCCACACAGGTGAGGATGGAGGGGTGGGGCCTCGCTGGGGCTGAGACGGGCGAAGGTTAAAGCAGAGAGCCCTTCACATCTGTGCAAGGACAGCCAGGAGGGAGTGGGGAGCCACGTCTCAAAAGACCAGGGCAGAGCCCTTGGGAGGCTGAGGCAGGAGGATCGCTGCAAGTTTGAGGCCAGACTGAATTATATAGCGAGACCTTGTCACAAACAAACCAACAGAATAGGCTGGAGGCTGGCCCCAGCTGTAAGACACACAAAATGCAGCCCTCGCAGGGTGCCCACATCCCTGCCCGACCCAGTCCCCATAGCGCAAGAGGAGAGGGAAAACCTCAGGTTAAAAATACCCAGTTTTGTTGTAAAGAGAAATAAGCACAGGAAGGAAGTGTGGGGAGGGGAGGCAGAATAGAAAGCCCCGGAGATGCGGAGAGTCGAAGGCGAGGTTTTTAATGGCCGGAAGCCGACCAGGTAGAGCCAGGAGGAGCTGCCAGGTGTCGGAGTGGTGGGCTGAGCCCAGGCGCTGCTGCCGCCTTCTCGGGCGTGTCCCAGGCACAAAGAAACGATCTCGGCTGGCTGAAACCCGCACTCAGATCCCCCGAGGAGCCTCGGCCCTGGACTGCGGTGGATGAGGAGAGGGAGCCACCCTGAGCCCCGGGCAGGGTGGGAAAGGTCGCTGGCCTCGGGAATCGCAGCCCTTGTTATGGAAGAGAGAGCAGTGGGGGAGGGGACACAGCGTTAACTGGGACACAGGGGTGCAGATGAGGGCTCTGGGTCTAGAAGCCTGACTGGCACTTTCTAGCTGCGTGACCTTGGCCTAACAATGTTCCTGTGCTCCAGTGTCGTCTGTAAAAAGAGGACAGCACAGGGGACCGCGCAGAACTGTGAGCTACTATGCCTGTGGCTGCTAGAACACTGTCTGTTCCCTGGTGCTTGTAGAGGTTGGCTATGAGCTGGGTGCAGAGGTGCACACCTGTCATCCTACCCCTGGGGAGGCTGAGGCAGGAGGATCGCAGCGAATTTGAGGCCAGCCTGGGCTACACAATAAGACCCTGTCTCAGAATGAAACAAAGTAACAAAAACTGTCAGCTACGGAGGGTGGGGTGGCCCGCAGTGCAGGCGGCAGATAGGAAAGAAGTTCCTAACTCGTAATGTCCTAGAAGCGCTTTCTAGAGAGACTGCCACCAAAACAGGCCCAGAGGGAGCAGGGAAGAAGGGACAGCAGATTAAGGTACAGACCCAAGTCCATGTGGACAATGGGACAGTTGCATTGCAACATAATACAGGAGCATCTCCACCAACTGCCCGGTGCAGGGGCAGTGACTTCCTGTGCCCTCAGCATTTGGAAAGGGCCAGGCAAGCCGGGCATGGCAAAAAGAGGAGGCACAGAAAGGCAGCCCCAGCAGGAGGGGATGTGAGACCCAGGGAGACAGGTGGGGCGGCCCGGCCAGGGGTGTGCACTCTGAGGGTGCGGGGAGAGAGATTGCATTTTAGTCCCTAGGCATGACATAAATGGAGTGGGATGGGGGAAGTTGAGCCAGATTTGTGTGTTTCTCTAGCAGAAATGAATGTGCAGGGTATGTGCAAGGGGAAGAGAACCCCCTGGGGTGGCTGTTTAAGGGGTCCCAGCAGCGGCAAAGCGAGAGACAGCAAGTAGGCTCATCTGCAAGGAGGAGAGAAGGAACACCTGTAGTCCACCCGCTGGGCGTGTAGCAGTGCCCTTAGTGGAGACGGAATAAGGGCAGAGAAGGGAGTAAGGTTTTATTTATTTATGTATTTATTTATTTATGGCTTTCTTTTTATACTGGGAATCAAACTCAGGACCTTGCACTTGCCAGGCAGGTGCTGTGCCACTGAGCTATTTCCTCGGCCCCTTTTATGGCTTTTTGAGACAAGGTCTTGCAATGTATTCCAAGCTGGCCTTGAGCTCACTATGTCACCTATGCTGGTCTTGAACTCACGGTGATTGTCCTGCCTCAGCCTCCTAAGTACTAGGATTGCAGGCATGCGCCACTACTCTGGCTAAAGAAAGTTCTAGAAAGGTAAGCAGGAAGTGGCTAAGAGGGCCAGGGGGACACTGGACAGGACAGAAATGTAGGAGTGGGGATGAGTGTGGGAGGGTTGAGCAGAAGCCTCCCTTCACACTGACAGGCGAGCCTTACAATTATTCTAAAATTATTTTTATTTTAGTTTTTCTGCAGTTCTGGGGATGGAACCCAGGGCCTGATGCATGCTGGGTAAATGCTCTACCACTGAGTTGCACCCCAGCCCCTGCTATTCTTTTAATGTAGCGTGGACATAGAGTCACAAGGCTGAGGTGGAAGGCAAGGTCCCTGAGCGCCATAAGAAGGATCCCAAGGGCTGCTCAGGTCTCCCCCTTGAATTCATGGCCAGAAAATCGCAAAGCATCACAGTTTACACTGCCTGGTCAAATGACATTATAGATGTTCTTATCTAACGTGAGCTAAATTAGCCCGTACAAAATGGTCAAAGGGCTTTAAAAGATTACCACAAAGAGACTGCAGATTAAAACCCTCCTAGCTGGGTATGGTGCCTCATATCTGTAATCCCAGCACCTGGGAGGCTGAGGCAGGAGGATTGCTGAGAATCCAAGGACAGCCTGGGCTACATAGTGAATTCAAGTCTAGTCTAAACTGTGTAGCAAGACCCTGTCTCAAAATCAACAACATCCACCATCACCACAACAAAAGACCCTCCTAATCCTTAATTCAGAAAGCACCAAAAAGATGGTCCTTCTCACCTGGGCTTCTCCGTCCATCCCATCACGAGGTAAAGGCAGAGACAGTCTAAGCAGGTGTTACAGGAAGATGGCCAAAAAAATAATAATTGTTTTTGCAGTGTGTCCCTATCAAGACAATTACTTGAGATTTGAGCGTTCAGGCCTGCCACTGTTGAAAAGGAACCTCACTCCAAGAATATATTGTGCCTTGAGATAGTAATGATAGCAGGCTGGGTATACAATTTAGAAATAATTGATTGCCTGGTATGGTGGTACATTCCTATAATCCCAGCACTATAGAAGGCAGAGGCAGGAGGATCCCTGTGAGTTTGAGCCCAGTCTAGGCTACATAGTAAGACCATGCCTAAAAAAAAAAAAAAAGAAAGAAAGAAAAAATGAACATAGACAGGATGCTTGCTTGAATTTTATCACGGATGAGTTGTCACACCTCCGTTTGGGCATCATCATTCCACAAAGGATTTGATTTGGGCAAAAGTTCTTCAGTCGTGGGTTTTGGTCCCAGGGAACCAACTGCTGTCCTAACTTTATCAGCCCTCCACATCGGAAACACTGTGTATTGCATTTACCCAGGAGAACAAAGGAAGCTTGTATTCTGGAGCGTGGCTCAGCTGTCTTTCATCACCTTGGTCCTTCTCTTCCTCCTGGAGATGAAGGGAGATTAGCTGCGCTCCCTGGAGAAAGCATTAAGTAAACATAGGCATGGCCAGTGACTGTTTCTATCTTTGCCAACCCTTGACAGCCGGCGCAGTGGGCTGCTCCAAGGGGCACAAGTGAGCGAGCACCCAGGCCCCAGTTCTGACCACCTCCACCTGCCCTTCTCTTGGCACCCTGTGGATTCAAGGACCCTCGGGGGCACAGGTCCTATGGAGCGTGAAGGCTTCTGTCATTCCAGTGCTTACGAGGCTGAGGCAGGGGGATCTCCACCAATTCCATGCCAGCCTGGGCTACATAGTGAGTTCAAGACCAGCCTGAACTACATAATGAGACCCTGTCTCAAAAAAAAAAAAAAAAATGTTTATTTTTTCAAAGCACATTTGTGTGAGGAAGTTAACCGGATGGGGAAGATTATTCTCTGCAGTTTTCCCCTTTGTGTAAGGCGCTCTATAGGCACCATGGAGACACAAAGACAAAAGACAGTCGGGACCCTGATAATCCGGTGGGCGAGGTCAGCCATGCGCTGACCCCCGGCACAAGGTAGGTGCAAGGGCTTGAGGGGTTCAGGTGAAGAAGAATCAGGGTGACAAAGGGGAGCAAGGATCAGGCTTAGTCGTGCAGCAGATGACTCTCCCCCGTGTGGGATGGAGGGGTGACGTTCCCAAAGAAGGGGCGAGTGCAAAAGCGTGGGACAGGGATTGCTCGCTGGACGCAGCTACTTCCAGTGGGCCGCCAGGGCTGAAGCAGCACAGTGGGGTCGGAAAGCGCGGGGAGCCGGATCCGAGACAGCCACACACTGGCTCCGAGATCCTGAGTTCATCATGGGGGAGCATGGAGGGCCCTGGATAGCTGGGAGTGGGAGAGGCAGTGGAACTACCCAAGTCAAAAGTAAAACATGTCCAGGGTCCTGCTGTGCGTTCCCTGCGGCCCGGCCTAGATTTTAATCAGGCTTGCAGGCGACATCGGCAAAGCTCCTGCTGACCAGACCTGAGGGCCGGTGGGAAAGCGCCCGGGGCCTGGGTCGGGCGGGCGGCCACTGCTCTGGGAAAGCCCAGAGCCCGCGTTTCCAAGCAGCTGCCGTTGGCTTGGGTCTGGCTGAGCCGAATCTTCCCATGGAGCTGGGCGGTGGATGAGCCGCTGGCTGGACTGCAGTTCTTGGGAACCCAAATGGGCTGGGCTGGGAAGGGCAGAGTGTGGGATCCTGCAATAAAACGGAGCGAGAGCAGCTCTGGAAGTGGCCTGCGGTGTGCGGCAGGGCGTGGGGCCCTGCATTCCTGGACGGTTAAGACGCTGCCGCTGATGATTATCATTATTATTCCCGCTCCTGCTGCGCTCCTCCTGCAGCTTTCATCCTCAGGACCCTGCCTCGCTGGCCAGGCGGCACCAAGTAGCAAGGGGCGGGGCACAGCAGGCGTCTCCGGGCTGCAAGGGAACACCTCACCCCCTACCCCCCGGCCCTCACTGGGCATTGCTTGTCCTCCCAGAGCTGGGCAGATCCCGGCAGCCTGGACGGGAGCCAGGGAAGGTGTGGGTTCTAGAAGAGAGAACTGGGCCAAGGCCAGGGCAACAGAGCTGGTACCCTTTGTGCCAGGCGCTTCAGGCACCATGAGATCAGGCTCCTGGTTTCACGTCTCTCTGGAAGGTTCTGCCATAAGGGTGGATCTTCCCCAGCCTCCGAGGGAGGGCAATGCCACAGACGTGCAAAATGCCCCGCTCGCTCCTGTCGGAGGGCCGGTTCAGCATCCTGGCACAGGAAGAGCCCGGATCTCATAAAGATGGGCCGGGCCCAGGGGCAGCAGGCCAGACACCGGCTCTGGGACAGGGAAAGGTGTGTGTGCGCGTGTGCGTTTTGAGTACATTCACTAACACCAGGCTTCCAGGAGTGACATGTCCCTGCTCGCCCCTGGCTGACAGGAGATGAAAGGGAGACAGACTGGAAAGGAATTCGAATGGCGATCTGATAAGTGGGTGAGGGGTGAACACTGGGATCCTGTCCTACAGGGGGCACGAGGGGGAGACAGGTGGGGGCTGCCAGGCTGCAGGCTGACACCGTCACCCTCCTCTTCCTCGATGCCCTTAGGGACAGTGATCTTTGGGAACAGCTGCTGGCTTAAGGGACAGGTGGGATGGCACAGCAGAGCACGCTGAAGGTAGAGGACAGAAGATAACAGACAGGACTCGGTGGCCTCCACATCAGCCACGTGTTCCCGAGCCAGCCGACCACGGAGCTCGCGTGTGCCAGGCATTATGGTCCCGCGGGGACAGATGCATGAGGCAGGCATGCCCTCTGTCCTCAGCAGGCTCTCTGGAGAAGAGCAGGTCTTCCTTTTGGTCTCACACCTCCCACCCACGGGATCCAGCACCAGAATCCTGCGCTGGGTCCCAAGACGTCTTCTTCCTCCCTGCCCATGTTCAGCCAAACCTACCCGGGCCCCTGCCTCAGCACCGGATCGCCCACCAGCTCCCTGAGGTCACAGCGCAGCGGGGCTCCCTAGAATTCTTGCTGGTCCCTTGACATCCACCCAGCCCAAGCGCTCAGCCCTCAGCCATGGAAGCCTGCTCTGGAGCTTGCCAGGGTGATAAGGGCTCTCCAAGTCCCCCTGTCCTTCACTGACGTGACATCTTCCCAACCAGGCACACTTTTGCTCTACGCAGGGCCTCCGCCCCCTCACCCCTTGCAGTTGGGTGACCTGAAGAAACTGCAGCAGCTCCCTGATGCTTATCAGGCTCATGCGGAACTTTTGGGGCTGTTTTTCAGGACCTTCTCGCATCTGCCTCACTCTTAGCCAACCACGTCCCTGGCCGTCCCCAGCACACAAGCGCTTGTCATGCAACTGTCTACAGTGGCCAAAGATCTTCTGAAGAAATTATTTCCATGTTCATAGTTGATCCCACTTTTACTGGATAGCTGCCCTGTTCCAGGCACTGTGACCGAGACAGACAGTTCTTTTGGTGACTGGGGACAGATGTGCCTCCTTGGTGGGGTGGACAGACAGACACCAATGCTGGAAGCAGAATGTACAAGGGGTCAGTTCGGACAACAACCCGCTTCATGTGACACAGTGAGCCTCACTGCAAAGAGTGGGGATGTCCAACAAGTTGTCCCCATCACAAGAGTCGGAAGGTTCTGGTCCCCAATTTCTTCCTCACCATGAATGAGTCTCTCCCTTCCTGAATTCAGCGTCCTTTGGAAGTGACACCAGGAAACAGGGGCAGAATTTTTTTTAAAGACAGTGTTGCTATGTAGTCCAGGCTGGCCTTGAACTCACTATGGAGCCCAGCCTGGCTCTGAACTCTCCCTGATCCTCCTGCCTCAGCCTCCTGAGTGCTGGGATTACAGGTTTACACCACCACCAGCAGCAAGGGGCAGGATTTGAGTCTAAAGACTTCAAACCCTTTGGCTCCTGAGAGCATGCAGGGCTGCAAAAGGCACTCACAATTTTGCTGGGTGTTAGCAAGCACTATCTGCCAGCTCGGGCCTCAGAGCAGGTCTCCTGGAAGATGTGCAGCAGCCTCTCCTCTGCCTAAACCGCCCAGGACAGGGGCGGCTGCTGTTTGTGAGACTCAGCCGAGAAAGGAGGCACTAACCCCGCACACAGTGCTGGCCGTGGAATGGGTGTTTAACCACTATAATTAGCAGAAGTCTTCCAACTGTCTCACCAAGATGACATGCTTCAAACGCTACTGCCTTGCTTGTCTGCCACCCTCTGCGAAACGGAGAAAATAAGGCAAGCTACAGCAAATTCTCTGCTCTGAGGGCTCCATAAAGACACCTATAATCTGGCTGAAGTCAGGATCTGAGCACCTCGTCTTCTCAAGTGCCACCATCGTACGTGGACCCTGTGGGGTGATGGTGTGACGGTGCAGGAGGGCAGGCTCTGCCAAACACAGCCCCGGGGCTCTGCTGGGGCCCCCTCCTGAGTGGCCTTTTCTCCCCAATGGTGCCTCTGTCACCAAGGCATCAAGCAGAGGTGGGGGACACATTCCTGGCTGTGGATCCGGGATGGATCCCAAGAATGCTGGAAGGGGGAGTGCTGTGTATCCAAAACCCAGCAGGAAGGTGCTCCTTTTTAGGAGTGCCTAGTAAGAGTGCCTGTGACTGGAGGCCGTGAGAAGGGAACTGAGAAATGACGCTGTCAAATGCTGTGCCCCAACTACCGGGAGCTTTCTCAATCAAAGAGCAAATGCTGGGCGTGGTGGTTGGTACATGCCTGTAATCCCAGCATTCAGGAGGCTGAGGCAGGAGGATCACCCAGAGTTCAAGGCCAATCTGGGCTACACAGAGAAACCCTGTCTAAACAAACAAACAAACAAACAAACAAATAAAAAAACAAATCACTCCGGAGGCCAAGCTTCCTTCCCCTCTCTCTTTCCTTCCTCCTTTATCCTCCTTCCTCTCTCTCTCCTCCTCCTTTCCTTCCTGCTTTCCTGGGGGGTCCGAAGCAGTTGAGTACCCACGGAAGGGATGCTATTGGGCTGGCTGGAGTCCGTGCCTCTCAGTATGACCACAGCACGTCCCTCCTTCTCCCGCTGTGCCACACGCACAGTCTCATCTCTGTACACACCCAGAGGGCACAGGCCAAAGCTCACCTCCGCAAGGCCCTCAGAACCCCGCACATGGTCACCCATCTGCTGTGTCCCCACTTCCCTGGACGGCACCAAAGGACCTGCAGAACTCAGGGCTCCCAGAACAAGAAGACACC